CATTCCTTTATTTCTCTATATTTTCGGTTCCATCGTTATTTGCGAACGTAATAAAGACATTGAAAATGTAATAAAGTATGCAACAACAATTAAACACAAAAAAAATTAAAAAGAAATTTATCGATCTGCAATAACATAGCTAAAAGATCTAGTTTGTAACAATCAAACGTCTAGGGGTGGACGCGCGTATTTGTGGAACTTGATAAAACATAAAGTATAATAATCAGGGACTGAGGAGCAGTCGAAAATTAGCGGATTTCATCAAAAAAACGTTACTACTATTTCAAAATTTGATTTCTGAGGAATATATTGGGGAGCTATAGCCCCCAGTTTTATAAGATRAGAAGATCAAATGACAATACATGAAATCAAAGGAATTGTTGCAGATTATTTTGTTGTACTCGATGTTACATGTAGTAWAGCACTGTGTGAAGATTACATTATTTCCAGGGAGGGGTTCAGGGCACTCAGCCAGGTAGCTCTCCAAGAAACCATGACAAAGGAGACACAAAAAAGGAAGCATACTAAATCTCGTGGGGGTGAGGGGGTTATTGCAAACTCCCTGCGCCCACCAGCTGAATTAGCCTCTGTCTGTAGCTAAAAACAAGCTTTAACAAGTGGATATGAGTTTTATTTCATATTTATGACATGCAAAACAGAGCATCATATGGTAGAATATTGCAAATTTATTATAAGTAATAGCATGGCTTCCTCGGGAGATTAGGGATTAAATGTCCCAGAGGCCGAGGGCAGATAAGTTGCAGACCGGAGGGACTTTTACTTATCTGCCCGAGGCTGATTTCTGAGGAAAAAATTGAAGTTGAACTTGAGCGAACTTGAATTCTTGTTTTTTTTTATGCTCCAATGTTTTCAATCAGAAGTAATATAAACATTGCAACAAACAATTCATGCATRAATTGGAATATGACATGAAAAGAAAAGATACACACTGTTCTAAGAGTATCACTCGCCGAACAACAGTACAAAATGATATTGRTAATCCGACCATTGTTACTGATTTCCCACAACGAACTTTGTTTGAAATTGCTTTTCAGTTCTATTCAATGCTGAAGTTAACGAACCTTAACTTCAAACGCGAAAAGTTGTTTTTATATTTGCAAGTATAATGCTAAGAAGCTTATCAACTATTATCAAACATTGAAATTCGTCAAGTGCACATGCTCAGCGGTACAAAGTAGATACTCAGAACCAGAGCTACTCGGTCAATTTGTCCCAAAAATCATCCCACATTTCAGTGTGACTGAGACGATAACCAGACCGTTCATTGCAGAGGTAAAAAGAAGACAGCTGTAGGGACATTCAGTTGTCCCTGCTGGGAAGCAAAGGTTTCCTTTGCCTTCCGTTCCTCATGAATAACATGAGGGACGATTAGTCTAATCGTCCCTCATGTTATTATGCATGAGGGACGATTACTGGTAATCGTCCTCATGTTATTCATGAGGGAGGGATGTTTGCTTGTAAACATCCCTCGGAAGACAAAAGAATCCGAGGTGATCATGGTATTATCAACCTTAACCAATTTTATTTGATATATCAGAAGCGCAGAAACAAAGGACATCAAATCAAATAAGTATGGTATTTTCTCACACAAGTCAGATATATAATTATTAATGATAGTAACCACATTAGCATATTTATCATGTATTTGATTCTTCATAAATAGCAAAACAATTGTCCGATCGCTGATATATCATGTATGGCCTTTTGTAATGGGTATTGTGATGATCTTAACGTGGGTTTAATCAAGATGGCGTCTAACTAATTTACATATAATCACGTGATCTTACATCCTCCCCTCAATGTAATGAAATAATCAAAGTTCCTATGCTGATGCGCACTCAATCACTCTGATTACTTCTGTGATACAATGACAATATAAACTTGTACTATAATATAGTTACAATAATACAGTCACTAAATGAGTTTAGTCAAATGTTCAATCTATCAGGAGCTTTTACAACACGTCCTGATCTTGTGGTCTTGGGCGTCTCTGCTCTAACTGGTGGCTCTTTGGTTCCTCCAGGTATGTCGCCTTGGCTTTCCGCTGCTGTTCCGTATTGAGTTGGAAGGTTCKTTGTGCAGTGGTCCGTGGTTGAAGTATCAGGCTTTAGGTGTATCCTTGTTCTTCTGTATACGCCATCAGTTCTCTCATTCTTGACTATATAAGATCTGGGTTCACTCGCGTTGCATATTATGCATCCTGGCTGCCAGGACTGTGAGTGGTTGTCAAAGATCCTTACTTTGTCGCCTGGGTTAAACTGTGGCAGGGTAGGTTTGGCGGTTTGGTTGTAATACTTTGCCTGGTCGTTTTGGCGTCGGTACAGTTGTTCCTTTGTATCAGTGGTGCCAATGTTGACGTTGCTTCTCTTTGACATAGGTAAAGTGTTCCTCATCTTTCGACCATTYAATAACTCAGCGGGTGACTTCATGCGGTGGTCGACTGGYGTAGTGCGGTAGGATAGGAGAGCAAGATATGGGTCTTCTCCACATTCGTCACTCTTCTTTAYGATATTYTTGACTGTTTGSACCATTCGTTCGGACGAGCCATTGGACTGTGGGTACAGCGGCGAGCTAGTGACATGTTCTATACCATTTGAGCGTGTGAAGTCGTGGAATTCCTTGGAATCGTAMTGGGGTCCATTGTCTGACACTATTCGCTCTGCGATATATGTTCGGCAAATATGCTTTTCATCTGATTAATAACTGCATGTGAAGTGTTACTGCTCAGTCTTCTTATGATCGGGAACTTGCTATATGTATCTGATATGAGTAGGTACTGTTGTCCCTTGAACTCAAACAGGTCTGTGTTCACAACTTCTCATGGGTAGTAGGGCGGTTCTGGCTGCAGTATCGTCTGCTTTGCTGTTTGTTCTGGTAGAGTTGGCAGACACTGCACTCCTTCACTGTATCAA